GTGTAGTTGTTTGATAGTAAAGGGACCAACAAATGAAGGTTTGAGTTTCTTGTTCCCACCAAGGTTATTGAAATTTACGGTAGAAAGAAGTACTTTATCTCCAATTTTGAATTCAGGTTCTTTATGACTCTTATCCCATCTATTCTTATTATACTCTACAGCATCTTCAACACATTTCTTGGCATGTAAATTTGTGGAATCTAACATTTTCTTGAAATCTAGTGCTGTAGGGTGTACATGAGGTAATTTGTCATTGATGGTATCTTTGGGCATGCGTGGGATCCATCCTCTTTCAAGTATATAGGGTGCTACTTTGGTTGAGGAATGTATGCTACTATTGTAAGCTATTTCCAAGGCCGGTAGTAAGCTTACCCAGTCATGAGTATATCCATCATGATTTTTGAACTCAAATCCAAATGAACAGAATCTTCTGAGCATGTCTTCCAGGGTTTGTATCATCCTTTCAGCTAAGCCATCAGTCTGAGGGTGATAAGCTGTGGAGAAAGCTAATTTTGTTCCTAACATATCATGTAAGTTTCTCCAGAATTCAGATGTGAATTTGGGGTCTCTGTCACTAATGATTATTTTGGGAATGCCTACGTCAGCCATTAGTCTGTTCCAGAATAACATAGCTACTTCCATGGCTGTATCATCCTTATGATTAGGAATAAATTTTGCCCTCTTGGAAAATCTATCAACTATAACTAGTACTGAGTTGTAAGAGTAAGATCCTCCGGGAGGTAATCCAGTAACAAAATCCATGTTGATGATTTCCCATTTATCCGTGGGTTCCGCAATTTTCTGAAGCAGTCCAAATCTCTTGCCTGTCTGTTTGTTTGCTTTTTGACAGGTATCACATGATTTGATGTATTCATGAACTTGTGTTTTCCAATCAATCCACCATGCGGTTTGTTTGACTCTTTCCACTGTTCTTTCTTCTGAAAAATGACCACAATTTACATTATCATGACATTCTTGAAGAATATTTTTTATTTGTCCTTCATCACATAAGACAAGTACGCTTGAGTGTTTGTGTCTGTAATACAACAAACCATCAAATAGCGTGAATTTGCCTAGTTTATAATGTTTGGACAGAACAGGTGTTAAACTAGCTGCTAGTTCTGGAGGGCTACTGTCATTTCTCAATATTTCTACTAGTTTTAGTAATTCACTATTTTGGTCATAACTTCTCTGAACTAATTCATAAAAGGCATTTTCCATGTCACATACGTGAATTCCTAAAATAGGGAATATGTCTTCATCCTCAGGATCATAGGCGGGGTTATCCGGGGTATTGGGAAGAGCCCATCTGCTTAATCCATCAGCATTCATGTGTTTCTTGCCTGCTTTATGGATGATAGTCATATGTCCTCTATACTGCTGAATAGCAATTTGCCATCTTAACATGTGCCTGTTGGGGGTTTTCATGTTCATCAGAGTTTTGACAGCAGTGCAATCAGTGATAACTACAAAGTGAGAACCTTCTAAGTAGTAGTGTAATTTATCTAGAGCCCATACTAGAGCTAAGCATTCCATCTGGCTGGCTCCATATTTTCTTTCTGATTCTTTGATTTGTCTAGAAATAAAGAGAATAGGTTTCTCCATGGGTTTGTCATCTATAACAAATTCTTGATGCAGAGCAGCTCCAAGCCCATCTAGACAAGCATCAATGTAGAGGATGAAAGGTTTGTCATAATCAGGTTGAGCTAGGACTGGAGCTGAAGTAAGCAATCTTTTCAATTCTTCATAATTCTGGACTCTTTCCCAGGTCATCTCATAAATAGTATCATCCTTGCATAGGGCGTACAAGTTTTTACTTACTATGGCAAATTGAGGAATATGTTGTCTGTAGTAACTGCAGAATCCCAAGAATGACATCATTTCTTTCATGTTATGAGGAGGTTCTTTTTTCATAACAGCAGCTACTTTATTTTGATCTACAGCTAGAGTTAGGCCAGATACTATTCTTCCTAGAGCTTTCAGTTCTCCGTAACCAAAATTGCATTTTTTAATGGACATTTTCAAACCAGTCTTAATGGCGGTACTCAGCACTAGATTAATTTTCTCTAAGTGGGTTTCCCAATCATTTGAATATATAATTATATCATCTATGTAGACCATCATCCAATCTTGTCTGATAATGCGCCAAAAATTGAGTCCATCATTCTTTGGAAATGGGAAGGGGCATTTTTTATTCCAAAGGGCATTCTTAAATATTCATATATTCCCAAATGACAAATTATTCTCAAAAATTGTCTGCTATCTGGGTCAATGGGTATCTGATGGAACCCTTTAAGAACATCCATAGTTGTGATATATTTAGCTTTGGATAAATTATGCAATGAGTGATCAATACGGGGGATTGGGTAATAATCAGGTCTGGTGTAGTTATTCAGGGCTCTGAAATCACCAACCATTCTTGATTTCTCATTATGCCAGGCAATAATTACTGGAGTAGTAATTTCTACTTGTTCATTGTGTCCAACTTTCCTCAACACACCTAATTCCATTAGTTCTTTAATGTGCGTTTCTAAAGCTTCTCTGGATTTAGGACTGGAAGGGTAAGGGGGTCTTCTCAGGATAGGAGGATAAGGTTCTTTGACAGTTAACTCCAACTTCATATCATGCCCTTTTATGTTACCAATAGGTTCTTCAGTAGTACAAAAGGATTCTTTATTTATGAAGCAAGTTTTAAGTACGTCTAATTTCTGTTGCTCGTCTAAAATATCACTGACAGCTGCTTGAGAAAGATATTCAGCTTTGAAGGACATCATTTCTTCCGTCATTTCATCTGGCACATCAGGGAGTTTGATATTCACATTGCAAATTTGAAATTTCCTTTTCCAATCTCCTCCAATAGTATAGAATCTGTTTTTACTTTGAAATATGTCAATTCCATACATGCAAAAAGTGTCATTTCCTAGGATCAAATAATCACAAATGGCATCTTGAAGAACTACAAATTCTATGGACAGTCTTAAAGATCCTTTGGAGTGCGGAAAGATTAATGGCATTACTACAATTCCTAAGGGTTTCATTGAAGAATTACAACTACTAAATTTTGCTTTGGGGACAGGCAGCAAATTATTTTTCCCATTCTGGATGTATTTCATCTAAGAAGTTGCTACTGGTACACGAGCAAAAGGCTCCAATATCTAATAAAGCTTTTACTGATTTATCTTCAAATAAAACAGAAGTGTAACTAGTTTTTCCCATAGTGTAACTCATTCCTTTTTCTGGTTTATTAGTGAGCAATTTAGCATCAGAAATATGACCAATTTTCATGGAAGAATCCCATTTCTGCGGTAAATTAGAATCTCCTTGGATGGTATTGATATGTAATTCATCACCAATATCAGCTTGGATTACCACAATTCTATGAGACTCCTCTTCTCCTGGTTCAGTGGTTATGACATCAAATTGAGATCCAGAGTCATATTCACTGTCAGTTTCTTCATATACTTCCACATTATTGATCTTTTTGCGGGGGTTAGGGCACTCAGGTCTTTTGTGGCCTTTTTCTCCACAATTATAACACTCAGGTACACTAGTTTTTCTTATGGGGGCTTCAGCTGTAGGAGCTTTTTCTTTGACATTATCTGGCTTGATGAATTCTCTTTTTTCAGGTATATTACTTCTGACGTATTTTTTATTCAAGTTGTTCATAATAACAACTTCTTCTAATACTCCTACAAATTCAGTCAGATCAACGTCCATGTCTTTTAGCCTACATCTGACTAAGTGCTCTATGGTTCCTTTGCATTGAGTTAATAATCTGTCATTTATTTCTTCCGCAGTAGGATTAGTGTAAATACATTCAATCCTTTTCTTTTGGAGCAAACACCATTCTCCCACTGAATGTTTGACAGGATCAAAGTAATCACTCTCAAAGGCTATTCTTTTAGCTGTTTTCCATACTCTGGTGCTAAACCTGGCAATAATTAATTCTTTCCATGTTGCCCAACTTTGCAACCCTATAGATTGGCTTTTGGTAACAAACCAGTCTCCTGCTATTCCCTTCATTAGTCTGGGGAGCTTGGAGGTAATCATGTCATCTGGAGCATTATACGTCCTTAACAAATAATCTATATACTTAATGAAACTAATGTGGTCATATTCATCTTTGCCGTCAAATTCTGGCCAATCCTTTATTGGAGGCATGTATTTATTTAAATTAGCCAGTTCAGCAGCTGTATACGGAGTAGAGTTCCTTATAAAATCAGCTTCTTCATTGGAGTTTCTATGTGTTCTAGGATCTGGGTTGATATGATGAGGAGAAGTTGAAGAACAGTCTTTGATTTGTCCATTACTTGATCGCATAAACGGATTATTATACTTTGGTTCATCTATTGCAGGCGTACAGTCTTTGAGACCTTTTTCCTTTTGAACAGGAAAAATATGGGGGGGTGTATCCCTGTTGTGCCTTAAGATATCTGGCAGTCCTTTCTCCTCGTTACTTTTAGGTATCGGAACATTAAGTCTCTCCGTTTCTTTGAGAGTCTCAAATTGTCCTTGCATCTTCTTCTCAAAAAGTTCTATCTTACTATCGGTTTGATTGCTCAACTGTATTATTAGGCTCTTAATCTCGCTAGTTACTCTCTCGAATTTAGCATTCTCAACTATAGTGTCTTGTCTTAATGAGGACAAGATGTAGTCTGCGTTAGCAGTATTAGCGGCGGCGGAGTTACGTTCGAACTGGACTATCTCTCCTACAGTACTTTTAACGTCTCTTAAGTTCTCTCTCAGGTACTCTACATCTTTCTGAATAACTGTTAGTTGTTCGCTGTGCTTAGGAGTTAACGCTATTGGTAGCGGACGATCAAGGTGTTTGATTATTTTTAGAATAACTTCATCTAAGTTTTCTTTTAATTTAGAGGAAGAAGATTCTAGACTATGTACAATACTAGCGAAATTACTTTCACTATTAGAATCAAGAGTAGAAATGTTAAAATTGAGAGTTTCTAAAGAGTCAAGGATAGTAATTGCTACCTTGGGGTCGGTTAGACGTTCTGGTATAGCCCGGAAGCCATTTGGAGGAGGTCCGTCACCTTCTTCCATTTGGCGGGGTCGGAGAAGTTGGTCGAGCTTGAGCTTTGCTTCTTGCCGGGCTCGTTCCGTTTGAACTTCATAAGATTCTTTTTGGGTGGAGAGGGGAAATGTATCTTCTTTTCTTCCCATGGGTTCCAACCCTTCACATAACTCTCTATCTCTTCGTTGTCGATGAGTTTCTGAAGAGCCTTCTGACTCTCCTGAGCGGTAGTCAGTAAGGCTCGTAGCCTTGCGGTCGGTCCTTCCCTGGAGGCGACTAGACATTGTTTCCAGAGCCCTACGTGCTCTTTCACCCGGAGTTTGACTTGATCTTCCTTCGATAAGATCTTGATTTCCGGTGTGGAAGGGCGTGTCGGGGTAACTTCCGAGCATTCTGGGTCGATCTCGTCGATCTCCATAGCAGAACTCTTCTCCTTGTTCAGAGGCTGCTTTTCTTTCGAGGTTTCTTTGTCTTGAGACGTCGCCGTGTTTTCCTTGCGGATTATGGTCGTCATTTTCAAGTTTTCTACTCGAGATTGAAGTTCTTTTGCCGCCGCGAGGTCTCGTTGGAGCGGGGAGGGGACCTCGTAATTCTGGGCAGTTTGCTCTAGTGGATTTAGTCATGGCCAATTACTTCGAATCAGCTAATAGATTTCTTAGTTTCAAAAAGAAAAAAAAGGATTTGATTACTAACGTTCGGACGTTTGGCTATCGGACCCGTTATCAGTATCGACTGAAGGAGTAGGGCTAGCTCGTTCTTGCCTAATTACACCGGTCTCAAACGTAGACACTGGTCGAAAAAAAAAGTAAATATTCTATTATTAATCCTTGAGAGAAGGAAAGGAATAAGATATGCTAACTTCTTTCAAGATATCTTTTCCGACGGAGTTGATTGTTTTTCTCGCGGATCTCTCTAAGAAAGCTCCTGAATTGGATCTGTCGATCTAAGTCTTCTTCTTGATGTATATGAGCGTGATACGTAGCGAGAAGGAGCTGTTCTTCTTCGGATAACTTCTCCCAAGGAGTTGGCTGGTAGTTCCGTTCCTTTTCTTCTTTCCGTAATCTAAGAATGATAAGATAACGCTGGATTAATTTGGCGTTCTCTTGGAGGTTCACGAAAAAAATTAGAAAGGAATATTTTTTTAGGAATTTTTTTGTTTTGCGGATACGAATTTGGAGAGAGATAGTTTCGAAATAAATGGAGATATTTTTTATGGATTTGATTTTTGTTTTCTTTAAAGTAAGGAAAAGGATGACCGTGAAAGAATGATACTTCTTTATGGGTTTGATTAATTTTATGAGAAAAAATCAGGAATAAATTCCAGGTGGCTTATTTTATTAAAAAAAAAAGGTATTTTTTAATAAAAATTTCCCGGCCAGACCCCCAATTGTCAGCCTACGTGATGCCAAGATGTAAAATCTTCTAGCTACACGTGGTGCAAGAGTGAACAAAAAGCTTATATATTTTTGGTTTTAATTTTAAAGGAGTAAATTCCAATAAAACAAAGGAATTTATGGGTTTAATTAATAGGAAAAAATGGCCAATTTATATTAATAAAATTAATATAAATAAAACCAGAGGGGCCTGATGAATCAGGGGTGGTTTAATCCCTCTAAGGTATCGTGCAAAAGCAGAGGATTTAGGTACCTGTAACACTGGGGCCTGTGAACAGGTGTGGTTTAAATCCCAGGAAGAATTTAAGGGGAAAATCTCAAGAAAAGGGTTATTACTTACTAGTAATAATCCTATGGGGTCTTGAGGATCTTCAGAGTTGAAACTGGACAGTTGGGAGCGCTCAGAAAGGTTGATTTTGGGTGCTGGGTGATAACTGTTGAGTTTCTTGAGGAGTTTTGAGGCTTTAATAACAGCAATAATAGTAGTAACTAGGCTAATTACAAGTGTAGGGGACTTGTAAATGGTAAGTATGTTTCTATATGGTATTGTAAAGCTGGGGGATCATTATTTGGGCGGTCAGAAGGCCCTTTAAGTACCTGTGGAAGGCCTCAGGGGTTGCCCAGGGGAGCTTAGTAGGACTTGGGGGCGCTTTTTGGCCCATTTTGGCCCACATGGTGATGTAACCAGGGCTGGAACCTTGGGGATAATGTTCCAGAAGCTCCAAGGGGCCCTGCACGAAATTATTACAGCCAAGAATGTCCCATGGGGACCTGTAGATAGGGGCTGCTCTGTTACGTGGAGCAGGTTCCTTGGAAATGGGTCACAGAATATTCCAGAGGTGTCTTCTGAGGCTTGCTACACGTGTTAACCATTGGAATATGGTTACTGTAGTATTTTCATGGATATTCTAGCTTGTTCACATTCTTATTACATGTGTGGGGGCTTTGTTGTCACGTGCAATGGGGATTCTGGGGCTTTGTGGCCCAATCCTTGGATACTGGTGCGCAGCATGACTACGTGGCGCGTGGGCTTGGAGACAGGACTCCACACAGCTCTATCTTCTAAACCGTGCACAATACTCCAATTCTGAGACTGGATTTGGAGTATATGCATTATGCATTATGCAGAGGAGTCACAGTACCCGTGATATGGGGGTACCTGTTAATTATTCATGCATGTATTACAGGGTGAAGGAGTTATAATTTGGGGTACCTTTGGCTGAGGTACCCTAGGTTAAATTGTATGCTGATTCAGAATCTGCAATAATATTTAAGGTTTTGTTTATACTTTTTAAGTTATTCATTTATTTTTATGTATTTTTTATCTTATTTACATAAGTAATATTGTTTCTTTTACTTATGTAATATTTTTACTTTATACTTAGATTTTTATGTACTTTATTATTATATTTGCTATGACAGGTTGTCTCTGCCATAGTAGCAAGCTGACAAGTAAACACAATACGACAGTCAATGTTTGATTCAAATCCCTACTTCGCGATAGGAGGAAGGAAACTCACTCGAGGCGTCACTGGCAGAGTCATCGGTGTCAAAGTCGGACTCCTCCGAGGACGCCAAGAAGACGACATGATAAGAGTATGGGTCAGCTTGATCCAAAAGAGGACGGCCATCAGCCAAGGAGCTGTCCGCTGTTGCGTCGTCCTCAGACATCTCATCTACGATCTCGCCTTCCGACAGAGTGGACTCAGTATCGGACGAGATCAACATGATCTCCTGGCCAGTAGAATAAGGGGCAAGGGGGAGAAGAGTTGTCAGCCATAGTGCTTTTACTAGAGCTGGCGTTGTTGGGCTAAGCGGATGGGGAAGGAAGCGACTTACAGCCATCGATGGTCGGCCTTTTATAGACGAGGACACAGAGGGGACGAGGACCGAGTGAGCAGAGCAATAGAGGAGGTAGCAAGCAACTGGCCAAAGAAAAACACTACAAAGGGACGCAAATGCGAGGCTGGAGCGTTGGAACGGTACCGGAACCGTTAAACAAAGGATCGAATAAGTGACGCAAAAAACGGCGTGTATCGGGTGGGAGCGTCGGGCGAGAAGAGGTGGCAGAAAACAGATAAGAAAGGGGACGGAGGCGCGAGGCCTGGAAACGAGCCGCAGCTGACAGGGTGGAGGAAAACGCTGGCTAATAAGGACCGGCAGAGTCAATTGGAACGGTATGTCGGGAGCTGCAGAACAAAGGGATCGTCGGCGGACCGGCGGAAGCGAAGAAGGCGGCCAGGGAAACGGTCGAGTGGAGGCCGGGTCGAAGGGATGCATGTTGCAGGCGAAGGCCTGACCGTCGCAAAAGTGGAGGGTTGATCGCGTGCAGGGTTGTCGGAAGGATCGATGTGCGGTTGCGGCGGGGTGATGTGATGTTGGGGAGTGATTGATACCTCCGGCATCGGGCGGAGGAAGGGTCGAGTGATAAAAGCATAGAGGTTCACGGGTCAAGTGACATCCTCGGCAAATTCGAAGCGCGGCGCGCGAGGGCCAAAACTGGGTCTTAAATTCAACTTGGGGGGGGGCACAGGAAACACAGCCTGAGCTTACCAATATGTCACAAATTGGTCCAGTAAGACCAAAAACTGCAGTTCAAGCTCACCAACCATCACCACATACATATTAAAAACTTGCAAATCATAAATACAAAACTCAGGAGACAAACAGAAAAAAAAAAAAAAAAAAAAAAAAAAGAAAACAAAATGGAGGAATTTGCAGCTCATGCAGCAAAATACAAGACAGTAGACAACAAAATTAGGCCAATCAATCAACCAATGCCACAAGATATTAATCCCCCCCTCCAAAGACCACCGCTATCAAGAGATCCATATGAGACACCATTAACACCTCATCCTCCAGGATTTTTACCAACACAAAGAGTGACAGAGGAAAGACTAAGAGCAGTGAACTTTGGCCCACCTAATTGGCTTTCAACAGAAGAATTAAATCTATTAAAATATGTCATTATCCTGTGGGAAAAATCCATTGCCTTCTGTGAGGAAGAACGGGGAATACTCAAGCATAGCTATGGGGAACCATACCAAATACCAGTGGTGGCGCACGAGCCATGGCAAAAGAGGCCAATCCCTGTACCAAAACCTATATTACCAGAGTTTGTGGACTTAGTAAGGAAAAGGATAAAGACCGGGTTATACGAACAATCAACATCTAGCTACTCAAGCCCAGTATTTTGCGTTACAAAATCAAATGGAAAATTAAGGATAGTCCACGACTTGCAACCACTAAACAAAGTAACTATAAAAGACGCAGGGTTACCCCCTAAAATAGAAGAATTTGTGGAGTCTTTCTCTGGGCGCGCATGCTACGGATTGGGAGATATCATGGGAGGGTACGACGAACGGGAACTGGCACCAGCTTCAAGGCCATTAACTACTTTTGAGACAGTCTTGGGACGGCTTCAGTTAACTCGGCTTCCGCAAGGCGCAACAAATTCTGTCGCAGTGTATCAAGCCCAGATGACATGGATTCTGCAGGAAGAAATACCAGAACATGTAGGAATTTTTATAGACGATGGAGGAATAAAAGGACCCCGATCTACTTATAACAACAAACCACTCAAAGAGAACCCTAGGATTAGAAGATTTGTGTGGGAATACGCCATAACCCTGGAGCGGGTCTTATTTCGCATAGAGGAAGCGGGACTCACAATATCAGGAGAGAAGTTCGCTTGCTGCGTACCAGCATTGGATATTGTAGGACATGTTGTATCCAAAGAAGGTCGATTAGTGGCAAAGAAAAAGATAAATAAGATTCAAAGCTGGCCTACGCCATTGAATAAGAAGGATGTTAGGAGCTTTCTAGGGATATGTGTATACGTTAGGATGTTCATCCAGAATTTTTCAGCTCTCGCCTCACCACTTAGGCGACTAACTCATCTAGACACGGACTTTAATTGGAGTGAAAGTTGTGAAGAAGCCTTTAACACACTAAAAAAAATAATTGGGGAAGAAATAGTCCTACAAAAGCTGGACTATGAGAAGGGAGCAGGAAAAATAACATTGGCGGTGGATTCCAGCTACATTGCGGCAGGAGCAGTTCTCATGCAGCAAGATAAAGAAGGAAAAGACAGACCAGTTCTTTATGAATCCGTGGGTTTCTCGAAAACCGAATCCGACTACGCTCAATCCAAGCTGGAATTATGTGGAGTCACAAAAATATTGAAGAAATTACAAACTATTCTTTGGGGGCAGCACTTCGAACTTCAAGTAGACGCAAAAGCCCTGATAGAAATGATCAACACACCTAGTCTTCCATGTGCTCCAATGACGAGATGGGTAGCTTTTATCCAGCTGTTCTCATTTGACTTGGTACACAAACCAGGAAAGACATTTACCATGCCAGATAGTTTATCACGAAGACCGTTGGATAAAGGAGAAGAAGGAAATGATTTTAATGAAGACAAAGAATGGATAAGGCCGCACCCCGGACTTGGAGTGAAACCTCTCTCCGTATCAATGATTAAAATCACGGATCTGGACAACTCACAGTGCGGAATATGGAAGGGAATAGAAATATATCTGAGGGAACTCAAGCGACCACCAGGGTGTTCAGACCAGGATTACCAGAAAATCAAGAGACGGGCACACAACTACTTTTTGGAGGACAGTCAGCTGAAAAAGAGAGCTCTACCGTTTTCACAGACAGTTGTGTCGTTGCACAAAAATCAAGAAAAGGTGATGAAAGCTTTACACAAGGAACTTGGACACCGGGGAATGGCGGAAACGTATAGGAGGATCAAGATCAGATTTTGGTGGGAAGGGATGAAAAAGGCAGTCAGGAAATGGGTACAATCATGTGAAGCATGCCAAAAGAGAAGTAAAAACTTGCCAAAAGAAGTAGGTCAAGCAACATCGACTTCAACCTTGTTTGAAAGAGTCAGCATGGACGCAGTACACGTAAAAGCGGGAAGATGGAAGTATATTATAGTGGCAAGGGACAACTTTTCTGGCTGGGCGGAAACAACTGCCTTGACAAATTTGAAATCAAAGTCAGTCGCAGACTGGTTTGTATCAGAATGGATTTGCCGTTACGGAATACCAAAAGAAGTCATGGTGGACGGAGGCGCAGAATTTAAGAAGGAATTACAGAATGCAATGAAGAAAATTGGAACTAAACTTAGAACAGTAACACCATACTACCCGGAAGCACAAGGAATGGTGGAAAGGGGTCACAAAAGCATCAAAGACGCACTCATAAAAATTTGCGGGGAGAGTGGTACAAAATGGAAGGAGTATTTACCTTTGGTCACCTTAGCTGACCGCATATCAACAAAAAGAACAACTGGATTTACACCATTCGAGCTTCAATTTGGACAGCCTGCAGTACTTCCAGTGGATATAGAGCTCAAAAGCTATCTGTCAGTGGAGTGGGGGGAAGTCAGGACCACGGCGGATCTACTGCAAGCACGGGCAGATCAATTAGCTAGAAAGGAGGAGAATAGAATTAGTGCATCTGAAAAACTACGCGAGGCACGAAAACAATCAGTAAAATATTGGGACCGGAAACTGGCCCATAGGATGAGGAAGCCATTAAAGGCAGGAGACTTAGTGCTTGTGTACAATAAATCTTTGGAAAATCAATGGGGTTTGCTTTTTAAAAATAGGTGGAATGGACCATACAGAGTCATTGACCAAATCAATAATGGACCCTACGAGCTGGAGGAATTGGACGGAACAAAACTCAGCCGATGATACGCCGCAAATCATATTAAGCAATTTTATCTTAGGGCAGAAAAACTTACAGAAGAAGAATTGGAAGAGGAAGAAGACGACGAATCAGAGGAAGAGACAAGTAGTAATAGTAGTAATAATGAAAGTGGGGGGGAAGAAGAAGCCGCCTCCGGAGAAAGTAACGAAGACAGCAACGAGTCAGTAGAAGGCAAATTTTAGGCCATTAATTGAAGAGAAGAATAACGGATACTATACGGAAACAAATTTTTTAAAATAACAAGGACTGGAGGCTTTATTTATTGGAATAGCACAGAGAAAGAGATTAGAAACTAAAACAGGAAGAAAGTTCAGAAGATAGCAGATCAACCAATTATACTAAATAGTAATATAGTTTAGACTTGAATAGAGATTATCGATGTGAAGGAAAAACAGAATGAAAATGTGGAAGAAATAGTTAAGGAATCCTTCCGGGGGAACGGTGAATTGAACGTGTATTCAAAAGCCCATTCGACTCAGCGGTTAGAGACCTTTCTTTTTGGAACAGCCTTCAAATACATCAACCACCAGCCTTTTCCTTGGACTAATACCCATGAAATAGAATGAAAGAGAGTCGTATTTGGAGCCTTTGATTTGGACGTGGCAGGCGGAGAACGAGACGAGGAGAATAACAAGGACAAACGTATATTATAATTTGGGAATAAGAGGAAGAAATCAGTTACAATGAAGAAAAACCTGGACGGCGGAAACTCAATCAAAGTGGAACCCAATCAGATGAACAGAAGGACCAAGTCATGAAGAAAAGGAGAATCAGTAGGATATCAGTTAGGAATGAAAACGTATTAATGAATGAGAATTAGTCAACTAGAGGCTTGGGGAAGTTTTCTTGCTTACACCAGGAATGCTGCGGACATCATTAATTTGGGGGGGGGATGTGGTGGTCCAGGCTGTTGTGTGCAACAAAACTGCCAAAACCCCTACCTTACAACCTAAACCACTTACATATATGAATATATTATTGCATAATCAGAATCTGCA